TTTGGTGGGTGGTGAACGACGCCAGGAGCCTGCTGAGGGGCAGCACGAGCGGCGGTGGCGGGTGCAGTGCGGCCGGGCGCCGGCTGGGGACCGGGGCGAGCCCGAGACTGGCAGAGAAGGAAAGAGAAGCGCCGGCAACGCCCCGACGGCCGAGAGATGGCGACAGCCTGGGGTGCGAGGGAAAGGAGAGCAGAGGGGCGACGCGCGACGGCGAGACGAAGGGAGGGGAGGACGACCCGCCGAGCGGCCCGAACGCCGCCGAGCTGCTCGCCAGAGAGCCACAACGGACCAGCCCGAGGAGGCCGCCTGTGCCGAGCACATCGGGCTGCTCCGCAGAGGGCCGCACGGATAGTGCGATCCGTGGCCGCACGGACAATGTGATCCGTGCCCAAGGGCAGCACTGAAGCCCAGCTCCGCACTGCGAGCGTCAGGTCGGGCATATGTCCCCCTACAGGCGGATGTTCTGGGCGAAACAGCAAGAAGAGCCAGAAAATGCCCAAACAGAGAGACAACAGTAGCAGAAAAATCGTCCCCAGACTATCTTTGGACTATTTCTGCATACTCCTCCTGTCGGCGGTGGACAAACCTCCCTTTAGCAAACCTCCCCTTAGTGAAAACGGCCTGGGACCGAAACCGACAGACCTGGACCCGCAAAAAGGACGGCCGCGACGCCCTCTCGCGAACCGAACACGGCGAGGAAGGAGGAGCAGGAGAGGGAAGAGGAGGAGGAGGGAGCACGCGGCGGCGGCAGCACGGCGCCGGCTGCCGCAGGCGAGCCCGGCGGAGCCGAGAACCAGGACTAGGTCGGGCCTGTCCCCCTACAGGGGGACCTTGGGCGACAAATTACCAACAGCAAAAAAAAGCAGACCCCCAAGGGTGCAAGAAAGATTCCAAAAGGATCGTCCCCGCATTCTTTCCTGCCCGTTTTTCGAAGATTCCTCCTGTGGAGGGACAGGCCCGACTCAAAACTGGGACGCGAGGCGGGGGGGGGTTCTCCATCTCCGCCGCCGGGGAACCGACGCCCTCGTGCCCCCCGCGGGCTGCGGACATGATGGAGATACACTGCGGCCCTCGCTGGGCCCGGGTATATCCACCATCCCCCGCCTGCCGAGGCTCCGAAAACTGCGCCACCCAGGCGGCGATCACGTATGAAGAGGCCCAAGGGCACACAAATAACTATACACACAAATACAACGGCTCCCAATCTTCTCCCGTATTTTCTGGGTTTTGGTCTTCCCGCCCACTTCCCATATTTCCCCATATTCTCTTGGGAATCGACGATTCAGTGTGTCTGTGTGTGTGTTCTTTTTCCTCCTGAATGTAGACGTTCCCGCCCCGGATCCGAGCCGCGAGGGCCGCGAGGGGAGGCAGAGCGCCGAGGCGCCGGCGAGGAGCGGGAGGGGAGGGGGGGGGCCCGCGGGCAGCCCGGGGAGAGGCCGCCGCAGAGCCGGCGGCTCCGCGGGGAGCTGGGGGGGCGGGCCGCCGCGCAGGTGACACCAGCCTGGAACATATCCCTATCCCTATGCTGGGCACCTCCTCGTCACGATGCCAATCTTAGGGGTTCCCTTATTTTTTGAAGGCGGATCCCTAGATTGTCATCGCCTTCTGGCGTGTCAGTCTTAGAGATAGGGATACGTTCGAGGCTGCCGCGCAGGGGGAGCGGGAGCGCAGGCGGCACAGGCGAAAAAGCTGGCGATGGCACGGCCGGCGGCGGCCCCGGAGGCTGCTCGCAGCTGCGGCGCAGCCAGGCACGAGCGGGCGCGTGTGTGCCGCACGGTGGGGGAGGGGGGGAGGGCCGGCCGCCCCAGGCAGAAGCGCACACAGAAGCACACAACCCCCCCACACACAAGCACACACACAGACACACAGACACACACACACACACACACACACACACACACACACGCGCAGACACAGACACAGACACAGACACAGACACAGACACAGACACAGACACAGACACAGGCACAGACACAGACACAGACACAGACACAGACGCAGACGCAGACGCAGACACAGACACAGACACAGACACACACACCCACACCCACACGCACACACACACACACACACGCACACGCACACGCACACGCACACGCACACACACACACACACACACACACACACACACACACACGCGCAGACACAGACACAGACAGACACAGACACAGACACAGACAGAGACACAGACACTGACGCAGACACAGATACAGACACAGACACACAAACTCATGGCTGCATTCGCATGCGAAACATCTGGAGTCCACGCTCTGGATGCACATGCGAAAGCCCTGCTTACCCCGCCAATGAGGGGCTGATCGAACGCTGGAAAGACATCCAGCCACATGTGTGGCCCGCTCTCGCTCAGGCCGACCGCGTCACGTGTATCCAGGTTTTGGAGCCCTGCCTGGCTCTGGAATGTGCCGACGACCTCTAGATTAGAGCCTCGGCGACGGTGTCGCCCGCTCGCCGTCGTCGTCGTCGTCGCCGTCCGCGTCTTCGTCATCATCGTCGTCGTCGCGCCGCTCGTCGTCGATGTCGTCGCCGTCGCCGTCCGCTCGCCGTCGCTGTCGTCGTCGCCGCCGTCGCCGCCGGCGCCGGCGACGTCATCGTTGCCTGCGATCCTCCAGGCTCGAGGTCGGGACGTTCCAGCATCAAATTTCGCGCCCGCCTCAAGGGGCATCTGGACGACGTCGGTCGTTGTCGTCGCGGCCGTCGTCGTCGCCATGATCGCTGTCGTCGTCGTCGTCGTCGTCGTCGTCGTCGTCGTCACCGTGATGGTCATCGTCATCGTCGTCTTCGCCGCCGCCGCTGCCGCCGTCGGCGTCTCCGCCCGCCGCGTGGACGCCGCCGCCGCCGCCGCCGCCGCCGCCCGCGCCGCCGCCGGTGGCCGCGCCTCGCCGTGGAGCGTTCTCTCCACTCTGCTGCGCCCCCCGGGGGCCTCCCGGAATCATCCTGGCGACTCACGGGAAGGCAGCCTGGAAAGAGTCCAGAAGCCTCTGGACGAGGGCAGGCGACGCCGCCGCCGCCGCTGCCGCCGCCACCACCGCCGCCGCCGTTGCCGCCGCGGGGGGGCCGCCGTCATCGTCGTAGCCCACCTCTCCCTCCTCCCCATCCTGCCCTCCTCCCTTGCCCCCTCCTTCTCCTCTCCCTCATTCTCCCTCCTCCCTCCTCCTCCACATATTCCTCTTCCTCTTCCGCCTACTCTATCTCCGTTCCTCCTCATTTTCCGCCTCTTTCATGTCTTGTTCCTTCTCTCATTCATTCTCCTCTTTCTCTCTCTCTTTTTCCTTCCCTTCCCTTTCTCGTCTTCTTCCTCCTCCTTTTCCTGCCCTACCAGGACCTCCCACTATCCCTCCTCCTCTTCCTTCGCTCCTCCTGCTCCCCCAACCCCCCCCCGCCCCCCCCCGCCCCCAGGAAGGTATCGGAGATCTCCCCTGGAGGCCCAGACGGGGCCAGGCGCGCCGCAAGACCTGGATCCTCGATCCTCCCCCCCCCTCGCTCTCATCCCGGCGGCAAGCCCGGGAGGGGAATTGACATGGAGCAGGCCTTCTCAGAAGGCGGCGGGGCTTCTCAGAAGCCCTTCGGCTTAGAGAACTCCTCCGAAGGACGGAGGCCTTTCGAGCCTTATCTTAGGTCGGGCATGTCCTCCTACAGGCGGATTTTGCATGACGAATGTTTCAAAGTACCCCAAATTCAATAATGATCCAAAGTAATATAAAAAAGAAAACATCGTCCACAGACTATTGCTAGACTATTTTTGAATATCCCTCCTGTAGAGGGACAGGCCCGACTTGAGCCTTCTCAGCAGGCCCGCCCCTTCCTCCCTTCCCCCACAGGCTCGCCGCCGATCCCTGTCCTGCCCGTCCTGACAAGCGCAAGGCTCCTGACAACCGTTGTGTGTTTGTCTTGTCCGCGGCGAGAGCGGTCGCTGACGCGCTCAAACAGCCCGCGGGCCGCGCTGGGCCATGGGCACGCCAAGACAGCTGGAAACGAGGAGGGCGGCCGCAAGACGCCGAGAGCCCGCGCCTCGAGGAGCGCGCAAGCGGCGCCAGGCGCCAGAGACCGGTGTACTCACAGGTCGTGCCAGTCAGCGCGGGCTGCCGAAAGGGGGCAGCGCCGGCGACGTCGAGAGACACGGCCGTCATGGGATGGGCGGCGGGCAGACTGCCGTCGGGGAGCCAGGGCCTTCGGACGTCGCCCTCGGGGGATCTGGCGAACCCGGGGTGGCCGGGAATGTGCCCAAACGAGCAAATGTGGAAAAGCACTGGCGGGGCCACGCGGCGCAACCTCGTTTGCGTATCTGTGCGTGTGTGCGTGTGTGTGTGTGTGTGTGTGTGTGTGTGTGTGTGTGTGTGTGTGTGTGTGTGTGTGTGTGTGTGTGTGTACGTGTGTGTGTACGTGTGTGAGTGTGTGTGTGTGTGTGCGTGAAAGAGTTTTTGGGCCGCCTCGAAGCACAAGAACGACCCCCGTCGTTTGACACATGTTCTAAACTACTGCTATCTTAGAGGACCTCCCCAGTTTGGGCACACGGCCGAAAAAGCGCCTCTCAGCAAGAGAAGAACTTTACAAATCGTTTATCTAGTTTCCACTGCGTTTCGAACCCTAGCCATTTTGGATACGCATTCGACCTCCTGACTCTTGCTGCTCCTCGTCCTCCTCCTCCTTCTCCTCCTCCTCCTACTCCGCCTCTTCACGAGAACAGGTGATGATCGATCTAAAAAAACGCTCTGCGCCCGTTCGCCGCGAGGCAGTGGCGAGGAGGCTCCGTCATCAGACCCCGGAATGTCCTGCTCCGTTTGCCAATGCGAGGTCCCGGGACCTCTCGACACCTTCCCGAGGACAAGCACGGCTCCTTGTCCGGGGATGCTGCTCTCCCTCACCTGCAAGATGCCTCCCGGAGCCGAGACCTGCAACGACAGCAGCAAAAACGCCCGCACCTATCGACATTTTCAAGACGCACGAAGGGTGGGTCCTCCTCTCCGCCGGGCAGGCGCTGCTCAGTGGAACGACTTGAGCTTGTCGGTCTCCACAGGGGCCTCGTCCTCGTGCAGGTGCGCCAGTGGGTTCTCCGCCCTGTAGTGGTGAGCGTCGTTGTAGGCGTCGATCGCCTGCGTCTCGAGGCCTTGGTGTCTCGCTGTTTCGATGATCGCCAGAGCACGCGAGCACCACCGTGTGCTTATCCACCGAAGCCACTCGATGCGTCGCAGGCGGCTCGATGCGGGCCGCCACGCGCTGTGTGGTAACGGTGGGGAGCTGAACTAGGGGAACAAACAGTGGCATAAACATAACAGCTCGGAGGTCCGCGCGGACCTCCGAGTTTTTATGTTTGTGCCACTTTTTGTTCCCCTATGAGCTGGGCAAACACAGATTGGGCTAACACACGTCCACGAGATCGTCGACCGATCACGGATGACGAACGAACAACACACACCCATACCCATAGGGGGGTCGTTGGGAGGAGGACTGGCCGTGGGTATGGGTGCGGGTTGTCGGACCCTGGGGAACGCTCCCGTTCGAGCGGGGACCCCCATCCGACAACACGCACCCATAGCCCTCTCCGATCCCCCTATGGGTATGGGTGTGTGTTGTTGGTTCGTCAACGGAGGCCCATCACCGTGGCGCGGCCTGGGCACGTCTGCGAGCTTCTGCCGGTCGTGGGGCCCCTCGGGAGGCCTCTGCAGCCCTCGGGGGCCCGTGGAGTCTCCTCCTCCTCCTCCTCCTCCTCCTCCTCCTCCTCCTCCTCCCTCCTCCTCCTCTCCCCCCTCCTCATCCCCCTCCTCCCCCTCCTCCTCCTCCTCCTCCTCCTCCTCCTCCTCCTCCTCCTCCTCCTCCCTCCTCCTCGGGGGCAGCGTCGGAGAAAAAGGGAGAGAGCGCCAGGGGAGAGGCCTGGGCGAGGCTGCGAGCCTCTGCCGGCTGCGGAGGCCCCTCGGGAGGCCTCTCTGCAGCCCTCGTGAGGACCCTCGGGAGGCCGTCGGCCGCGCGGGCCACGGGAGGACTCTCGGGTCGGGCGAAAGGGGGGGGATAGCAAAGGGGGGGTTTGAGAATCGGCTCACGCAGCTGATTTTCCCGGCGCCTCCCGGCGCCGGGAGGCGCCCATGTATCGAGGAATGGGCCCCTCGGTGAGGCCGAAACCAGCTGCATGCAGCAAATTTCGTAACCCCCCCTTTCCCAATCCCCCCCTTTCGCCCGGCCCGAGACTCTGGGGGGCAGCGTCAGGGGACCAGCTTCCCAGGGCAGGTTTTTAATGCCTGGGATTTTGTTGTTTGTGATCTCGGATTTTTGATAACATGATGGATTCCACTCCTCGTTGCTTTTAAATACTTTTTTGTTTGTTTTTTCCAGCCTCGTTGTTTTTGATACCAAGTCCCTGCATGTTTTAATACATGATCCGCACGCGGAGCATGTATCAAAAACGGCCCTGTAAGGAGGGGGGGGAGCATCGACCTGGACCAGCTTACCAGGGAAGTTTTTAGTACATGGGATTTTTAAGCACACGCGATTTTTAATGCATGATTAATTCATGGATAAATGTATGCGTGAACTCCTCGTTGCTTTTAAGACTCAGTCCCTGCATGTTTAATCCATGATCCGCACGCGGAGCTTGTATCAAAAACGGCACTGTACGGGCGGGGGGGGGGGAAGCATCGACCTGGAGTCGGCGACACGTCACCGATGAGATCGGCAGTGGGCCCCCCCGCGCGCGGAACGCCGCACGTCCCTGGGCGCGGGGCGGGCTGCCAGGCCCCTCCCCCTATATCGGCGAGGCACGGGCGAGGCGGGGGCCGAGGCCTCTCCCCTGGCGCTCTCTCCCTTCCGACGCTGCCCCCGAGGAGGAGGAGGAGGAGGAGGAGGAGGAGACTCCAGATCCTCGCAGCACACTCGCAGCACAGGGCTCTCCACGAGTCTTGCTGGGGGCGAAGCTCGCCAAGCAAAAACCAGCAGGCACCGGGGCGCCGATGGCAGGAGCCCGGGCCGGAAACGCGATCTCCGGAGCCTACAGCACCAACTCCACTGGCACAAGGCTGAAGGCTTTCTCCCTTCCGACGCTGCCCCCGAGACTCCTGGCCCCCCCCCCCCCCGGTGCATGGTGGCCCCTGGGACTGCGGAGGTGCCCCCCAGGGGCCTCCAGGGAGCTCGAGGTCGCACCTCGACCACGCCGGTGCGGCTCCTCGGGCCTCCCGGGGGGGGAACAAAAAAAACACCTGGAGGGCATCGAGCTCGATCCCGAGCGGGCGTCGGAGGCTTGGAAATGGGAGCCAGCACCAGCAGTGGGCCGCCGAGATCTTAGGTTTAGGTGCTGGTGGTCGCACTTCGGCCGCATGCAGTCAGGTGAACAGTGTGCGAGTGGAATGTTTGACGGACTGTAGGTGGGTTCCTGGCTGGGGCGCGGGCTTCTCGCGCTTCCGATCGCACTTGGTCAGACCTGCAACGTCGCTCGTACACCGCCCGCGCGAAATCAGAAGATAGGCATATTTCCCGTCGCACCTCTTATTATGGAGAGTCTGTAGTCTGTCGTTCTGCCAGACATTTAGACGAGTACCATCACCAGCTCTGTTCTTTTCTCGCGAAGTTTAGCGCCTTCTTATGGAGAGTCTGTCTTCTGTCGTTTTGCCAGACATTTAGACAAGTACCATCACCAGCTCTGTTCTTTTCTGCTCTCGCGAAGTTTAGCGCGTCGTGTGAACTTCCACGCTGCGCGCCCCACGCGGGGCAGGAGACAAACAGCTTGCGTCAACTTCAGAACCAGCAGAGCAGGCCTTGCAGACACGGTGGGTGGACAGACTGTGCACTCCAGGTTTCGTAATAAAAGGGAGGGGGTCTGGACCCTCCAAGACAAGCCATTTCAGACCTCCTCCGTGGGAGAACCCTCCAAAACATCGTCCCCAGACCCCCCCAGGCCCTCCAAGATAGCTTGGAAAAGACCCCCCCCGAAATGAGACCCCCCTCCCTTTATTACGAAATCTGGAGTACACGCCCACCGCGCCAAGACAACGCCACAGCGAAGTGCATCCAGAAAATCAATAGCCCGGTGCCCCCCCGAATCCATAGTTGATAGCGGTGCGCGCGAGGCAACGCGCGGAGGTCAAAATGTGGATACTTCGACTTTGGGCTTGGGGGGGGAGGGGGCCGGGACATACGTTATGCAAGATGTGATTCATCATCGCGTGATATGGTGTCCGCGTCATTGGTGAGGGCACCTGTTGTGCGGCCAGCGTCCTGGGTAGACGCTTTGAGTGGCCTCGTGGGTGCCAGCATGCGTGCGTGCGTGCGTGCGCGCAAACAACTCAACGCGCGTCTGTGCGTGCGCATGCCACCACCGTGCAATCCTTCGCCCATGTACGCACACGCGGAAGACCTGGGTACTCCAGATTTCGTAATAAAGGGAGGGGGGTCTCATTTCGGGGGGGGGGCTCTTCCAGGCTATCTTGGAGGGCCTGGGGGGGTCTGGGGACGATGTTTTGGAGGGTTCTCCCACGGAGGAGGTCTGAAATGGCTTGCCTTGGAGGGTCCAGACCCCCTCCCTTTTATTACGGAATCTGGAGTGCACAGTCTGTCCACCCACCGTGTCTGCAAGGCCTGCTCTGCTGGTTCTGAAGTTGACGCAAGCTGTTTGTCTCCTGCCCCGCGTGGGGCGCGCAGCGTGGAAGTTCACACGACGCGCTGAACTTCGCGAGAGCAGAAAAGAACAGAGCTGGTGATGGTACTTGTCTAAATGTCTGGCAAAACGGCAGAATACAGACTCTCCATAAGAAGGCGCTAAACTTCGCGAGGAATGAACAGAGCTGGTGATGGTGCTCGTCTAAATGTCTGGCAGAACGACAGACTCTGCGGGACAACCCTCGGACAGTCCACAGGACGACCGAGCAGCCCACGGGAGAGCCGAGCGGGGCAACCGCGGGACGAACCCGCGCGTCGGCCACGGGGCAACCCGCAGGACCACGGCACCCGCAGGACGAAGGCTGCTCCTCTTGGGCCCAGACACGATGCTCCTCCTCCTCCTCCTCCTCCTCCTCCTCCTCCTCCTCCTAATACTCCTCCTCCTCCTCCTCCTCCTCCTCCTCCTCCTCCTAATACTCCTCCTCCACCTCCTCCTCCTCCTCCCACAGGACGAAGGCTGCTCCTGCGAGCGGCGCGTCTGCGATCCACTTGGCGATCCACTTCGTCGGCGGGTCGAATGAAGTTGGTGCGGGATCGAATCTAGTTCTCGGGTGTGTTGCGGCGGATCCGATGTCTGCCCGCGCGAATCCGATTTCAAATGTTGTGGATCTGATGTTCGTCCTATTGTTCACGCGGATCCGATCCATAACTTGTTTCGAACACAAGATGATCAAGTTCCGTTATTCCGCGGAGAGAAATGGAATCCGCGGAACCCCAGCTCGCTGCTGTTCAGGTTCTAGGGGGGAAGCGGGCTTGGTCACAAGCTGCCACAGACAGGTCGCGCGTTGCCTTATGCAGCCCATGAAGCCTCACCGCGCACGGATCGCACACAACATGAATGCACACCCCCTGGCTGCTAGAAACATATTGCCCAACGTCGTGGGTCCGGCGGCGCCGACGCTCTCTCTATCGCCACCCGCTGACCGCCGCTGGTGCCTCAAGAAGAACATCCTTCGCCCCGCGCAAGTGCAGCACGACCCCGAGCGCGAGCGCGAGCGCGAGCTTGAGACCAAGCCCGAACCCGAGCACGGGTCCGAGCGAGAGACCGAGCCCGATCCTGACCGCGCGCGCGCGTTTCGTGTGCGCGCGCGTGCGTGCGTGCTTCCGATCTGGGAGCATGCGAGCAACAGCTCACTGCCAACAGTGTTCACCTGACTGCGGGAAGCCCGAACATCGGGTCGGGCGAAAGGGGGGGATAGCAAAGGGGGGGTTTGAGAATCAGCTCACGTAGCTGATTTTCCCGGCGCCTCCCGGCGCCGGAGGCGGCCATGTATCGAGGAATGGGCCCCTCGGTGAGGCCGAAACCAGCTGCATGCAGCAAATCTCGTAACCCCGCCTTTCCCAATCCCCCCCTTTCGCCCGGCCCGAGAACATGACCACCACTCCCGAGATCGGGACCCTCTTCCCGCGGCGGGGGCAGCCGCCGGCCTCGGGGCCGGTGCCGAGCCCCTGGGCCCCCGAGGGTGGCACCC